ACCTCGTATGCGCCGAAAGGTGTTTGGCGGGGTGCTTTGTTTCCTGCGTGGCGAGGATGGCGATGTCGTGTTCTTGTTGGAGCTGCAGGCGCGTGTTCCAGTCTGTCTCGAGGCTGGTGGCGTTGAGACTAACGAGGTTGATGTGGTGTGGGGCGTCGCCAGCCGAGTGGCTTGGGTCGGTCCGCCTGCGGCAGTTTATTTCTTTCGAGCTCTGCCGGTTCCGGGGTGGTGGGCTTCGCGCGGGGGCGGCGACTCGAGGGGCCGCGGGGGGCGCGACTGCGGTCTGTGCCCCGCTGCCACTGCGGGGGCGGCCAGCCGAAGTTTGAGTAGGCGCAGGGCCCCAAGTCGACCTCGAAACATGCGACGGGGGGCCGGCGGCAATCAGTCCCCCCTTTGCCGTCATGCGGGTGGCTTGCCACGCACGACCGCGGTAAAGCAGGAAAGCGGCGGAAAATGGCGCCAGGGGGGTGGGGAAAATCGCCGAAGACAAATGGCAGCTGTAACTCCTCGATTCCAGACGGAAGTGACGGGGAGGGACAGGAGACGGCGGCGGCAGCTGGGCGGGGGGCGGCGGCTGTGGCACAGCGATCGGGCAGCATGCAGCAGCAGCTCGCGCGCTCATGCACGTGGCGCGAAGCGCGCCGCTGGCGCCAGGGCGTCCGTCGCCCGGCGTCCTAGCCCTCGCGGAACCTCCATCCCCTGGTGCATCGGCAGGACCTTCAGCTGGAACCCGCTGTTCTTGTGGCGGGGTCGGAGCGGCTGCGAGCGGCCCCCCCCCCGCCAGTGGCCAGCGCGCCGTGCTGCCGAAGGGGCCGCCCTTCTGGTGCTGGGCTGGGCGGGGGTGGCGGCGCGTGCTGGGCTGGGCGGGGCTGACTCCGGGCGTCGGTGCGCGTGGCGAGGCGGAGATCCTTGTAGTGGCGAGGGGCCCGTTGGGCGTATCAGTTGAAGATTGGCGCACTGCTGCGCCAAGTGTCCGCCGCCCGAAGCTCACGCGGCGAGGTCGTTCACCGCTTGTGCGCCGCGCCCGCGGTCATCAAAGCCAGCGGCCTGGGGGCTGATGGCGCGCGTGCGGGTGCCGCCAGTGCCCCCCCAGCTGACCTCTCGCCGGTGGATGGATCGTTGGGGTCTGGTGCGGCGTGGTCGGCCGTGGCCGCGATGTCGTCGCAGCCGAAAGTGGAGGCCTGATCGCGCTCGCGCGTGTCAGGGTCGGGGAGCGGCTCGGCGGTGCGGCCTGCTGTCGGCAAGCCAGCGATGGAGGCGCTGGCCGCGGGGCCCTCAGTACCTTCAGTGGCAGCGGCTTGCTGCGCGCGCAGGGGGCCCCCTGATTCCGACGTGCTGGGCGACGCTGATGGTTGGCGCGTTGCTGGGCTGTCGGGGAGGTAGCGCCCCCGTGGGGGCGCGGGGCGGCTGTTAGCGGCGGCTTTTTGGGGCGGGGGGGGCGGCGTGACCGCGCCCGCGGCGCTGTGGTGCGGTGTGATGCTGCGCCTGGGCGGTGGCGCGGCTGCTGCTGACGGCGACCGTGGCTGTGTGCCGCTCTAGGCCCCTGGGCCGCTGTGGTCAGCGGCTGGGGCTCTGGGGGCGTGGGGGGGAGGGGGCCGCTGTCGCTGGCTGGCTTGCTGTGTCCTGAGCCCGCTGATGCGGTTGCGGCCCTCCCAGCGGGGTCGGAGATGCCGTCGGTGCCTGAGCCCTTGGAGCCGCGCCGAAGCTCCTCGCGGCGGGCGGCGCCCTGGCGGCGCTGCTAAGCGCGGCGCTCCTTAGTGTCGCGCGAGAGATTTCGCGAGGCTGGCCGCTCCACTAGTGGCCGCCCCCGATCGCGGTTGGAAGCGGGGACCGCCGTGGCTGGGGTCAGCCGCGGGGGTGCGCGCGCTCGGACAGGTCGCCGCTGTTGACCCCTGAGTTGCTTGTTTTTTTTGCAGCGGGGCGCGACCGCTTGGCGTCTTGTCCGTGACCTCGTGGGCAGTCTGCTGGTGGCTCCAGTTTGCGTCCCCGTTGCCAGGTGGCCCAGGCGTCGGCGTCGTCGACGCTGTGCGAGATCGCGCTGTGTGCGGGGTAGGGATTGTCGGGGCTGGCAGTTCGCGGCGCGGCTGCCGCTGCCCCTGCGGCTGGGCTATGCGGCCTCGGCGTGGGTGCCCGCCCAGAAGAGACTGGCCGCGGTGGGTCCGCTCCGATGGGGGTGGGGCGTGGGGCCTCTCCGATGGGGGTGGGGCTGCTTGCGCTGCCCTGGGCCTGTGAGCGCCAGGGGCCGATGCCCGGCGGGCTCTGGGCCGCGGAGGGCTCGGAGTCGTTCCTGCTCGGTGGGCCACGGGCGGCGGGGATGCGGTGTCGCTTCCTGGACAATGGCGAGGAGGAGGTGGTCGTAGTAGTCCAGTTCAGTGGCGTCGTCTGTGAAGTCCTGGTTGCGGGCGCCCGAGTGGGCGTGGCCGTGCAGGCAGTATTGCCTTTTGTTCTGCCTGGCCTGTGAGGTGTTGGGGCCCGTACCGTAAGCGCCGCGCGCGCGAGGGCGTCTGGGTGCAGTGGGGCGCCGCCCCAGGAGATTACGACATCGAACCAGCGCTCCGCGGTGAGGTGGGCACGCTCAGCGACCAGCCTGCATATGTCGCGAATCGTAGTCGTTCTAGGCTGGTCCCCTACTTGTTAACCCCATGTCTGGTGGGCTCGTCTGTTAATAGTGACGCGCTCACCGAGCCGTGGGTGCGGCTTGAAGATGATGCGACTGGCCCCCGCAGAGGTGTTGTCGTCGTGCGGATCGGGCATCTCCTTAGGGTCGTATGGCATGTCGCCCCTGATATATTCGCTGGCGCCCCATCGCTGTGTGCCACCAGCGCCAGCCCCCTGGCGTGCGCCTTCGAGCGGCAGGCCAGGGGCATTCGCCTGGACGTAGGCCTGGCCGTGGTAGCCAGGTTGGCCTGCCTGTGGGTCATCCGCACCTTGCCCAGTTCTCATGTCGGCAGCGCGGTTAGTTGGGTGAGTGGTGCCGCGCTCGGATATCTTCGCGCAGATGGATGGGGCGCATGCCAGAGTCCCTCTTGGCGCGTTCGAAGGTCGGCGGATGCGGGCAACGGCTGTTTAGGACACAGTACTCCTGGTTGCGTGAGAGGGCCGTGTAGAAACATACCCCCATAGCCCGTGATAGGAAACCGCTAGTGTACCACCTCATGTGTAATTCCAGGGGGTGGCATACATCGCAGGTGGCGCAGATTGGCGAGTCTGATCCTTCATGCCCAGACGTCGTTGCATGCAGTGCCCGCAGTACTGGTGGTCGCAGCCCTGTGAGTCGCAGATCCATCGCTCTGGGATGTGAGAGCCCTGTGGGAGTTTGTGCATCCACGGGGGCAGCATCAAGTTCCAACTCTCTCCCGTGGTTAGGATGACGTCTGCCGCGGTGCGGGACTTGCTAGCGAGGCGGGAGATCCAGTCGTGGGGGGAGTTCTGAGCAGGATGGAGCATTGGTTTCCGCGACCCCCCTTCGTCCTGCGACTTGCAGTTGGATGCCGCCCGCGTGGTTCCGGTGTGCGTCGGCGCCGTCAGGGGCGGCAGCGAGGCCCCAGCCGTAGGGCGCTTGGTGTGGGGGGCTGGTGCAGCGCTGCCCAAGGAAGACAGTGCCCCATGGAAGGTAAGTGCCATCGTGTTCCTCTGCGGTGGTGGCGTCCATGGGCTGGGGCCAGACAGGCCAGCCAGGTGCGCAGACGTGTTCGCAGTCGTCACGGATGAACTCGGCGGTCACGTGGAACGCTGTGAGCTGTGGCTCGCATGGAATATCCTCAGGGTCGACCGTGGAGGCGGCGTTCGCTGCGTGGGCCTGAGCAGCGGCTCCGTGGGGCGGAGGCGTGCGCGAGCGGGCGGCCTGCGAGCGCACCCCCCGTACCTGGCCTCTCGCCGGCCAGCGCGGGCCAGGGCGCTGAGCGGGGGAGCGTTATCCGCGCTGTGGGTCTGGGCCTGCGCCTGGGAGCGGCAGGCCCTGGCGCCGGGGTGGTCGGGTGGCTGCGTTGTGGTGCGCTGTGCAGCCGAGAGCGCTTCTGCCCGCGAGGTGGTCGACCTGGCGGGGTGGCTGCTCTCTTCTCCTCTGCGTCCGAGGGGGCTTCGGGGCGCTGCCGCGGGCCCATCGCTGGTTCGCCGAGGTCTGTCAGCTTCGCAGGGTCGACCCCTTGCTCTTCCAGCGACATGGGCAGGGCTGACGGCGTGAAGCGGGGGCCCAGAAAAGGTGCAGACCCAGTCGAGGGCGGCGTGGGGGCAGCACGTGCCCGAGGGGATTGGCCACCGGCTGGAGAGCTCCATCGTGCGGCCTCGTCGGGCTTGCATGTCCATGCGCTCTGCTCTCAGGTGGAGAGCTTCGTCGGCGTTCCCTGCGGTATGGACCGTGTGGGCGCCGTCTCCTGTTGCGCACCCTTGTCTTAGGTGGCGCATGCGCGACGTGGCCAGGACGGGCGTGCTCCAGTCTAAGCGGACGGGCATCTTTAGGGCCCTTGGGTGGATGAGCTTGGCGGCGTGGTCGGGGCCGTTGACGTTGGCTACCAGTGATGCGGCTTCGCACTGGGCGTAGGGCCGTAGGTGGTAGTGTCGTGTCCAGCCGACCCTGGTCGCAGCGTCGCCGACGCATGCCGCGTGGCAAGGTCGGGATGGGCGGCGACGTAGACTCTGTCTTCGTACTGTGGGCGGGCACCGTCTGCTTGACGCCGTGGGCCTGGGGTTAGGCCGTAGCCGTTGTGGATGAGCCGTAGCGCCGTCTCTGGTCGGGTGCCGTGCCAAGACCTCGCGGGGTTGTGGGCAGTGGGCTGTGCGACAAATTCTGTGCGAGGGGGGGCCCATGACGTCGGTCCAGGGCTTGATAAGCGTGGCGGTCGGATCCAGGCTGTGGTTGCTGCCTGGCAGGGTAAGCGTCTCGTAGATGGCGTCGCCGCCCACATGCAAAGATGGTGGCGACGAGTTTACGTGGCGGGGTTGGCACCGCGTGCTGGGGTTTGACCGTGTTCGGCGCGCCCGCGGGCGATGGGGCGGTCGGGATGGACGTGGCCGCCACTTCCACGGGGGCTGCGGTCGCCCGGGCAGGCGGCCGAGGGGTGGAGGCGCGGCGGGAGCGGGAGCGCTGTGCTTCGCACGCTACTTGGCCGCTCGGCGTGCGGCGGCGTCCACTGGGGCTTGTTGCAGTGCTGTCGTCCAGGATGATGCTGGTACGACGCTCAGCTGCGTGCGCCGTGCGGCTGGCCCAGTCGAGTGGCAATTACCTCTCGGTTGTGGGCGCGCCCAGGAGCGGCGCTTGGGGTGCATCGTCATCGTGCCCCTTGTAGCGCCGCTGGTAGGGGCCAGGCCACAGTCGCTGCGGAATAGCCGCGCGCATGATAGGAGCGTCTAGGGCCCTTCCCGTGAACCTGCTGGCCAGCATGGATATGCCTCGTGCGCAACAGCTATGACAGATGAAACAGCAGGTGGCCGGCACGGCTGGCGGAGTGACGGTGGTGCAGTAGTATTATGGCGAAGACCTCGTCGTCCCGGATGGCGCTGATGTGGGCGCTGATGTGGGCTTGGGCTCGGCCGAGAACCTCGCTGGCGGGGCCGCTGGGGCGGTTCGTGTTGCGCTGTGAGGTTTCGGAGCGGCTGCAGCGCCCCGGGCCGCTTCCCCTGGTATGTTGGAGCCGCGCGGGGGGGTGGGCCCGCTGCGGCCTGGCGCTGCGAGCTATCGAGGGCTTGCCGGGGCGCGGCAAGGGCGACTGGCGCGTGCATGAGGCGACCAGCTGTGCGGCAGCGGCAGCGGGGCGCGGCGGCGCTGTGGGAGGTCAGGGTCAACAAAAGGGTAGTCGGTGAGTTGGGCCAGCTCTGTGAGCCACTGCCTCTGTGCTTTCAGGTCGGCGTTGGAGGTGGCGTTGTCGTCGTCCGAGTTAGGGTGGTCAGCGCGACGAGTGAGCGGTCTGTGTAGCGTGCCCGTCGCTGTCCTGCCTTCGCGGCGTGGTGAGCTGGATGCGCTGCGCTCTATGGCTTGGTGGGTGTCGGGCACTGGAAGTTAGCGGAGTGCCCCCTCTCTGCTGGAGATGGTGGCGCCCACCGTAGTTTCCTCGTGCGGCGCGAGTGCGGTCGGCGCGAGTGCGGCCTGAGTGATGCGCGGAAAGTCGGCGTCCAGCGGGGTCAGGTGATTGAAAGGTGCCGCGAAAGCAGGTTGATGGAGGCGGTGGAACACGAACTGGATGCAGTGTTCGTGCCAGGCGTCGGCTTGGTTCGCAGGCCACCATCCAGCTCGTATTTGCAGCTGTTGTTGTGAGGAGTGGTAGTCTGTTGGCATAGACATGTGCATGTGAGAAGTAGCCTGAGTGTCGTTCGCATGGACGAGCAGTGTCGTCTGAGGCCTCGTGCTGGCCGTGCATGTAGTGGGGGCGCCGGGGGCGGGGCGGTAACCTGCTGTCCTTATCTGGGCCTGACTGGAGTGGATATCGGCCTTGTTCGGCTCAGGGTGGGCTTTGCGGTTTGATGGGGCGCCCTGCGCTATTCTCTCGGGCAAGGTTGGAGCTAAGTTACCACAGACAAGTTCTGCTTCGGAGCATGTTGTTTTTTTGGCCAGCTGCAAGCGTGCGAGTTTGGCGTCTGAATTCTGTACTGACTACAAAGGGCTTGTGGCCGCGAGCGAGAAGCCCTTGGAAGTTGTTTCAGACAGAAGGGCGTACTACGCTGGACCTGTTCTCCTAGCTCTGAGCCACCTGCCCAGGAAAGATGCTGTTGCTATCACGAAAGTGAAAGGTCATCAGAGTGCCGATTGTTTCGAGCGTTTTTCTGAGGACTGGTACAAGGCCAAAGGACATCACTGGGCCGCTGTGGCTACGAAGGCGGCTGCGATGACCCACTCCCGTCCGTCTGAGAACGAGCTTTCTGAGTGTAGCCTTGAAGCCTCTAGCCTGAAGAGTTTCTTGATTTTTGTGGCCAAGGCTCTCTTGCACTGGTCGAGCCTTGCGCCTGCCAGGCCCAGCATGAGATTGGGCAGGGCAGCCTCGTCCCTCGCTGGAGCTGCCAGCGCCGCCACTGCTGGAGGCGGTGCCGCCCGAGCCGCCGCCGTCAGTGCCGCCGACGAGGTGCTGGGCGCGGCTGGCTCGGGAGATCCAAACCCCTTTCCTCCCCCTCAGGGTGCCCCCCCGCCTCCTGCCCCTCCTTCGGTTGGAGGCCCTGAGGGCCCGAGCCTGGTGCCCACTTTTGGTGGGGCCCTGGTGTCCCAGCGCAGAGAGCGAGGCCATCAATTCAGGTGGATTCGAGGCCTGTGGGCCTGGACGCGGTGCCTCATCTGTGTGCGCTCTGATCCTCCGGAGCCTTCTGCGGATTGTATTGGTTTCAATTCCATGCTGTGCGCCCTTGTGCAGGAGCCCCAATGGCACACAATTCACCTGTCTGGTACCCATGTTGCATGGACTGTGGCAGTGTATCCGAGGGAGTGCGTCTTGGTGGGCTTGGAGAGGCCTGCAATGTGGGGCCATCCTCAAACCACACGCGTGGTAACCTCTCTCGCGTTAGGAGAGGCATCCATCCCAACCATATGCGTAGGGATGTGTTGCTTGATGAGCTGGTGCCTCTAGCGGACTTCACCTGTGCTGTGGACAGCGGTGGTTCTTTGGCTTCGACTGGTGAGGTGGGGAGTTAGTTGCTGGTGTGCCCTACCCCCTGTGGGGGTTGGGCCCTCTAGTGACTTCCTCCCTGCCTTGCTGGTCTTAGCCTTTGCGATGCGACGTGTCAAATCAAATCAAAGCTACCAGTGGGCGTCGGAACCGCAGCGTCCGACCAGATCGCCCAAGAGTCCAACGCAAACGTGACCAATCCCGATGATGTGGACCGTGCTGCTGCGGATGACGAGGGTGGAATGGAGGCTTCGTCCTCGTTTGGTGGGTCTGGGTCCTCGGATTCGTCGGTCGGTGCGCTGGAGTTGGAGGCGAATGGGTCGTCGGCTTGGAACCAGTAAGTTCCGTTGAAGCTCAAGTGGCCCTGCCTTGGCGTGCCCCGTTCATGTTCAGATTGGGGGGGTGGTTGCCTCTGTGGCGCGGGGTTGCCCGTGGTAGGGGCCTGGCTCGCAGCGCCTGGGGCTGCTTTGGCCTTTGCGGTTGATGTGTCCGTGCTGGTGATTCGCTCGTTGGTGCAGTTGGCTGACTCGGGGTGGTCGTAGGCCAGCGTGGCTAGGTCGTGGGCCCAGGGGGCGTGGTCGGGCTGATCGCGGTGTACATCTAGGTGGTGTGCAATTTGCGACCGCCGCAAGAAGACGAGGAGCAACCGAGCGGTGGCCCACGTGATCCATAGCGCTTTCCCGATATTCTATTGCTGCGACCAGCGCAGGAGGTCGCGGATGAGAGCATCAGCCACGTCCTCGAGCGTGGCGGTGGCGGGGCCTTGGATGGCCGCGCAGAACATCGGGTCGTCGTGGGTCGACGAGGGCGGACGGGCGGTAGGGCTTCGCTCTGTCTGCAGAGGGGTGGGCAATTGCCTGGGTTACGTTGCGGGGCTCCTTCGTGTGGCATGTCTGTAGAGGCCGCCGCTTGAGGGTGCGGGTCGTCCTCGCCTTAACTGAGGAGGCTTCGTCGCCGCCGCGTATCGGGGGTCGCCGCTGCGGGGGGGCAGGCCAGTTCGTTGGCGCCAGCGCGTCGGGGTGCGGGTCTCCGTCGTGGGGGGGTCGGGGGGGGGGAGCCTCGTCGCGGTCGGACGTGGCCAGGTCCATCGCGTCGGTACTGCTGGGCGTAGGCGGGTGGGGCGCTTGGCCGCCGCGTCGTTGGCGGCGCCGCCTGGTGGGGGGCCGCGCCCGTCGGGAATGGGGGGGCTTTCGGCGTCGGGTGGGCCGCCTCCTAGGTGGGTGCTATTGTGCGTGGTTAAGCTACTGGGCGTGCCACCGAGCGGTGTCCCTGTCCCAGCGGAGGGGGGCGTTGCTGGGTGCGGCGTGTTGTTCTGCCCTGCCGTGCTTGTGTAGATCTCTTCGTGCGGCTGGAGCGGGGCGGCGCGGCGGAGCTCCGCGCATGTGCCCGCGCTGGGGGGCGGGGCTCCTCGCGGGAAGCTGGCGCGCGCACTTGGCATGTGGCTCGGTAGTGGGGGGCGGTAGGCCTCGTGGCTGACCGGCCGAGCCCGCGCGAAGTGGAATCGAGTATGAACTCCAAGAACTGCTCAAGCCTGGCCTCCACTTGCAGTTGCTCGCGGCGGCGGCCCAGCTCGGCGCGGTTCCAGGCGTGGAGGCAGATATCTACGGCGGTTCGTGAGCGCTCGAGCTCGACGAGGGGCGGGTACGTTGGCGAAGGGCTGGTCGACCTGCGGGAGGTGGAGGGCAGCGGAAACATAGGGTATGCAGTCGTCGAGCCACGCTGCCATGACGTCCGCGCTGTCGTCTCTGGGGGCCCAGGCCGCTGCGCTGGGCTCCAGTCGGGCCCAGAGAGCGTAGAGGGCCCCCTCGGGGTCATTGCCGTCGTCGGGATCGTTGCCGTGTTGGACGCTTCGGGTAGGGTCCTCTGCGGCTCCGTTGTGCAACCGCATGTGATGTCGCGTGGCCCAGCCTGCTGTTGGTGGTCCGCTCGCGTAGGTGGCCGTGATGCTGCCGTCGTCACTGTTCAGCTCCCCTCGTCTCCTGGGGCTACGGGGTATGTGGGGCTGGCGCCCGTCGCCGCCGCTGGTGGCATGGTTGGGGCAGGGTCCTGGCGTCTGGGTTGCTGCGCGGGTGCTGACGACCGTGCTGTCGCCCCGTGGTGGCAGCTGCGCGCCGGGGCGGCTCGTCGTCGCAGCAGACGGGGGGTTTGTGGCGGGGCCATCGTCTGAGCGCAGGCGAGTGTCCAGTGGGACATTCCAGGGGCCCGTTCGGGCGGGCACGGGTGCCGCCAGATTGGTCACTTCCTGGGTCGTGAAGGGGCCGTGCTCGGTGGGGATGAGCGCCAGGGGCACTTGGGGGAGGTGGATGGTCTTCGCTCCAGTTTGCCGCGGCCGGCTGAGAGGAGGGTCCTCCGTGGCCCCAGTGCGCATCGCATGCGCGTGCCGCGCGGGGGCCGTCGGGAAAGGTGCTGCAAGGCGCGGTCGGCGTCGCTGCAGCGGGCCAGTGGTGGCGGGGCCAAAATGGCACCCGCTTGGTGAGGGGTAGCGCATTCGTAGTCAGTGTCTGTACAGGCAAGGTAGCAGCTGCCAACGCTCCCCGCGCTCGGGCGCCAGTCGGGGAGGGCGGGGCACGCCAGCGAGCGGGCGCCCCTGCGCCCGACTGGGCGCCATGAGCAGCAGGCCAAGGGGCAGGAACGCGTAGCCTTCGGCGCGAGGCGGTTTTTGTGGGGGCACGTTTCGAGCCAAACACGGCGGACATTGATAGCATGCACGTTGCCTCAACCTGAGTGCCCCAACCAGTGCATGCACGACCCCAGCATGCGAGTGCGCCAGGCGTTGTGCGCGTGCGCATGACGGACGCAAGACTGCCGCGGGTAGGTAATCATGTAGAACGCAGCCTGTATGCTGTCGGTGGAGAGAAGATACGAGCCTCGTGATGGACTTCCTCTAGGGGTTGAGGCGGGCCCCCAGAGGCCCCGTCAATGCGGGGGGGGAGCCGCCTGTATCTTGCCCTTGCTTTCGGTGGCGGCCCCCGCGGCGGGGGCAGCGCCCGCTGCTGGAGCTGCCTCAGCGGTGCGGGCGTGGCCTGTTGCGGGGGCTTCGCTAGCGGGGGCGGTGGTGGACGCGGTGATCACCAGGATTGCGGTACCGCTGGGGCCACGTGCCTGGAGGGCGAGCAGGAACTGCTGCAGGTCGCTAGGCGTGGCGCTGGTGGCCGATTGCTGCTCGGCGACAACGGTTGTGAGTCCGCCTTCGAGTCGGACAACAGTGTCCGCATGTGTGGACTGGGGCGCCATCAGCTGGGCTGCGTTGCCCTGGAGGCCGTGGACCTGCTGGGCCAACTGGTCGTGAGCATGCCCCATGTGTTGAAGGCGTTCGGCGGCGGTGTCGGGGGTGCGGTTGCGCGATCCAAACTCATGGAAGTCCTCCAGGGGGCCCTTGGAGAATGTGCCACGTCCGAGACGTGCATAGTGCGGGCCTTGGGGGGCGGCGGCGTGTCGGCACCGGTTACTGGCGTCCCCGGGGCGAGGAAGGGTGGTACCTCGGCTGGCCACGTGGGTTTGATGGGTTTGCCCCCCTCGGCCCGCCCCGCCGCGGGGCCCTCTGCGTCGACCTCCGCGGTGGCTGGCGCGGCCGCGGGGCCCGCTGGTTCGAATTTCACGGGGTCGGCGGAGCTCGCGCCAGCTGGGGCGGCAAAGCGCGCGCGGCGTGTGGCGCTGGTGGATCGCGGTCGTGGTGCGCTGAGTGAACGCGACCGCGTGATGGGGGGCTCCCATGAGGCCGTGCCCTTGCCACTTGGGATGGGGGCCGTCATGTGGTTGTGGAGGTATCGGCGGTTGGCCGCCCTCTTCATCGGGGTCTGCGGGGGGGGGGACTGGGATCGCCACCCTGGGCAGGTATTTGGACGCGGGCTTCACGAGTGATGATGGGCGTCACGATATCGAAGCGCTCCTTCTTGGGGGATACTTCGGCGAGAGGGGCTCGGCGATGGTCCAGGGCACGGTGCGCTGCTGGACCTTTACCGTGGCGTTTGGCGGCGCCGTGTGGGCACGGGCGAGGGCGAAGTGGGGCGCCGTCTCGCCGTCGCATGCCGCGCGGTACACTTCGCAGGGCCATTTGAGAGCTGCCGGGACCTTGCTGACCTGGGTGATGGTCGCGCACTTGGATTCGATGCCAGTGATCCTGTAGCGCGTCGTTGCCAGCGTCGCGTCGGTGCCGCGGACGCGTAGAGCGATGTCGCGGGATGTCTGGGAGCCGCGTAGCACGCAGATGCCCAGGGCGCCAGTTGTGCCGTGTTTGATTACGTCGTGCCCTGCGGGCTCAGCGGAGGTGGTATGTGCCTCGGCAAGAGTGCCCGTGTGGCCGTCTGGGTAGCAGATGGCTTGGTACTGGTCCATGGTGGGCGTCTTAGCGCCGAGGTTGCTGGGCTCATACGTTGTCCCCGTCAGTCCGGAGGCGCGCAGGACTGTGACAGCGTCTTGCTGCGCGGCCCCAAAGGTCGCGGCATGGGTGAGTTTGCCAAGTCCTGAGCCGAAGCGCTCAAGGGTCTTGCGAGGCTCCATGATCTTGACAGCAGAGAAGTGATTGTGGAACAGGGCCGTGAATGTGTCCTGCATGTCGCCATCGAGCTGCTGGCGCCTTTGGTCCTTCTCGGACAGCTTGCTCTTTTACCGTGCGCGTCCTGGACTGAGCCACCGCCGCTGTGGCCCTGCTGTCGTTGTCGGGGCCCGCCATTGGTGGGGGCATCACCTGAGAACTGGTCCTCAAAATGCTGGTGTATTGAGGGCACCGCGGCAATAGCTTCGGTATCGTGTAGGGTAATGCGGATCCAAGTCACGTGGTGTTCTGGGTCAAATTGAACCTGGGCAACGTTCTGTTTGCGGTGGACCTCCTTGGTGCCGAGCTGGTTGATTGTGCCGTCAATCTGTGCCGGCGCCGGCTCGGTAGCCTTGAGGCCGCGCTTGAGCACGGGGATCGCAAAGGCGGTGCGGACATACGTTGGATTTATGGGGCCGAGGACGGCAATGGCCATGGCGACTTCTGGGCGGTTGCCCTGACAAAGCACTTGCTCTAGGATCTTTTTGCCGTCGTCCATGGCGTGGAGGGAAATGCCGTCTTGGTACGTGATGCCGTCGACGCCTTTGGTGGGCGCTGGTAGTTGGGACGGACCAGTGGTCAGTGTCAAGGCTGACATAGGGGGTTGCCGAAGCCGCAGCCTGGGAGCGTGCAGCTTGGCTTTGGGGGGTGTTTGTGGTGGTGTCACGTTTTTGCTTGGTGCGTTCGAAGTGGTCCTGCGTGTAGCTGATACCGTCGGACGCACAGAGGCGCGCCAGGGCAGTACTCAGCTTCGTGGCGTCGTCGTGGTGGTTGTCGAAGGCGCTTTGGAGGTCTTCGGCGTGGTGTTGCGCCAGTAGGTTGTGCGCCTGGGTGACGCGGTCGTAGCCGCTTTTGACGAGCGAGGCGACGCACAGCTGCTTGCGATGCAGGGGGGTGCTTTCAACAGGCGGCTTGCGCGGTGCTGGCTGCTTGGAGGGCAGGCGACGGCGGCTGGTCGATTTCGGAGCCATGGCTGCGGCCGTCTGCGGGGTACGGAGGGGGACGCGAATCAGCCCCGCGCTGGAAGGGCGCGGGCCCAGTCTCGCCGGGCAATGAGAAGCGGAGGCTTCGCGTCGGGGCTCGCCCTGAGGGCCAGGCACTCTCTCTATATATATATATATATAGAGAGAGAGAGAGAGAGAGAGAGAGAGAGAGAGAGAGAGAGAGAGAAAAAAAAGAGAGAGAGAGGGAGAGAGACAGAGGGAGAGAGAGAGAGAGAGAGGGAGACACCGATTTCCTCATCCAGGCGAAGGACCCAACCATATGCAACTGTAAGTACCGCGTTGTGGGCACCGCTTTCGGTGGAGCTCATTCTGGGGCCGCGAAGTGTGTGAGGGGTGTGCCCAAGTGTGCGGAAGACCGCATACACTGGGGCCTTCGGCGGTAAAGCTTCCTCTGTGGCCACGAAACGTGTGAGGGGTGTGGGGCCTTCGGTGGAGCTCCCTGTGGGGCCACGAAACGTGTGAGGAGTGTGCCAACACGGGGCGGGGAACCGCATTTGGACTTTGCCATTGGGGCCTTCGGCGGAGCTCCCGATGGGGCAACGAAGCGTGTGAGGGGTTTGCCGAAATGGGCGGGGAACCGTCTGTGA